AATATTATTATTATTACTACTACTAATATTAATACTACCCACCTTTCAGATTTTATTCTTTAACTCTGCATAACAATGAATATGATTATAATTATTTATAGTAATATTACTATTATTATTATTGTTATATTCGTTCTTATCTATTTTTCTCTCTTATTATTTTGTTTTAAATGACAAAACTCTATTTATTTTAGTGATTTAAGGAAAAAAAATGAAGAAAAATTTGACATTTTGAAATGTAAATTCGTTTTCTTTTCTTTATTTTCTCTTGTTTATTTAATTCATAACTCTTTCTCATGTCTTATCAAATGTCCCCTAACCACCATTGTTCTTTTTTTTTATATTCTACAATAAAATAGTATACTACTCAAATTGATCATAAATTAACTTACTCATTAAAAATGTATGAAGAGATATACATATGCACAGATATCTGCCCCAATTCAATGGGAGTATAATTATATAGAAGGGGAGAGAAACTATATGAAAAGAAATGGTAAGAACTCCAAAAAAATAATAATAAAGATGATACATATATATCTTACATGCCTAATGTATAAATTAATATTTTTTTTTAAAAAAAATTGAATAAATAACTACATATAATTCTGTTTTGATACAGATAGGAAGATAAATATATAAACGAATCTTTATCTTAGTGGATATTTATAAAATAAGATAGTAGACAGAAAGCACAGTCTTTATGTCAATTTAATCTCGGTTTTCAGTATTTACATTGACAATCCATATCAGTATATATATGTGTTAGGCTGTGGACATGTAAGGCAAATAACGTCAGCACCTACATTGTATGTGGAAAAACATAATACCATATATATACAAGACAAAAATGGTTCTTGATGTGTATGAATACGAATTAATTCTAAATTTGTTTGGCCAGATTCCTTAATTATCTACTCACATTCTCTATAGTTCTATATTTACTCTCATTCTTGGTACAGTTTCCCACTTACCTATTAGTTACTTTAATGTATGATTATGATTCCCTTAGAATTTCTTCCTATTTAAATGTTCAAAAGTGACAGGGAGTTTTTAATAAACTTAGATAAAAACGAAATGTCAAATTAATATTTTACTGTTAACTAATTATTCATAAGGCACGTTTGTGCAAACATATTCTAGTTCTTAAATTATTTTCATTTTAAAACAGAATTTCTATCTTGATTATTATATGTTAATTTTTCAACTTTTAGTATATTTGAATAACTAACTTAAATATATTATTTATATATAGTTGAAATCATGAGTCAATTGAAGCTAGACAACCACGGAAAACCTGGAAGCATTGGACGGCCGTTTCGTCCTACTGTGGGACTCCTCAGCATTTCGCATCCATGATCCCAGCTGGCGAGATTCGAACCCAGGACCTATCAGCCTCCCGCCAGAGCATTTAACCGATAGACCACTGAGCCAGCATTCAACGGTGTTAATCTCTAACTTCAACCAATCCACGAAGTTGAGCAACCATTTCACCAATAGTCTTCAGTGAGTTGATATCTCCCAACAGACCTGGTTGAACTCCACCACTGAGGAGTCCCACAGTAGGGCGAAACCGCCGTTCAGTGCTTCCAGGTTTTCTACGGTGGTCTACCATCAATTGACTCATGAATTCAACTATGTATAAAAAATTACTTAAACTCTCCACAGAAAACCCCCTTAAATATATTACTTTAAAAGTTATATTTCAGTAGTTTATATGTGTTTTCATTGAGAAAGATTATAAAAATAAGCTAATGAATAATGAAAATAAATAAGAAAAATGCTTCTTTTTGAAATGTTCATCTCACTTTTGAGTGTCACTACTGCTGAGATTATAAATTGTTTTGCATTTTACCTTTTCTCATCGATGTGTGATTCGAATAATAATAATAATAATAATAATAATAATAATGATAATTCAAAATTTATTCATTAAAACTAATATTAGCGTAGATTGAATGTCTCACTCTCTGACCTACATAAATGCACAAACTTTAAAGAGTGTAGATTGTTTCCATATATATAAAGAATGTAGGGAAGTAAAATATTACGGATTAGTGGGTTCCTGGAAATTTCGTTTCCTCTGAAATGGTTGCATCCTTTAAGTTGGTAGTTTAGATTTTAATCATTATGAAAACATTAGAAGAAATTTTTTTGTATTTATCTTAATGAATAGTTGAATTCATTGATAAATTAATTAGAATTACCATTTTTCATTATTTCATTTACAATCATTTACTTAAATAGTCTTTTGTTTTAATATTCTTATTCATTATGTATATAGAAATTCAATGCATGCAATCAAATCAACTTAATAATTGAATTGAAAAGAGAAGTGTTTTTTTAGAATATTTCGTCAATGGATTTATGAATGGTCAACCGGGTATGTGTATTTGTGTATACCATTTCTATCTTTTGTATAGTTGACATTGTCAACAGTAAAATAATCAACAATGTTGAATGAATTTTATCAGTTTTATCAAAAATACAATAACAGAATTTTATTTTCGAATAATAGTAAAAGTGTGTGTGTGAGAGAGAGAGAGAGGAAGAGTATCACTGAAGTTATTTCTGATAATGTTTTCTACAAAGATAATGAAAGCTTCATGATTAAATCATCTAGCTCAAAGAACGCAATTTCTTCAAAAAAAATAGTATCACTGTTCATATCCTCACGTTTCTTATCATTTTGTTCATTTTTTGAAGTTTAAATTGTCCCCTATTAAGTATAATATATTTCTGTAGAAAGAATATATATATATATAACATTCAAGTGAAATGTTTACTCTCTATTATAAAAGAGAAGTCAAGTATTTTTTTAATATATAAACCGTCAAATGTTTATGTAGTGAACTGACATATTTTTAAGAGATGACCAAATAAATCTAATGACTTGTTTATATCTGAATAAAAAACATTTTAATAATAGTTGAAAGCATTAGTCAATTGAAGCTATACCACAATGGAAAACCTGGAAGCACTGGACGGCCGTTTCGTTCTATTGTGGGACTCCTCAGCAGTGCGCATCTGCAAAACCCCTTCTGATTATAATCATATACTCACTAGTGACTGACTTGAAGAGATATTTCATTGAGTTCTAGTGAGAAGCAGTGATCAGTGGAGTTCAACCAGGTTTGTTGTGAAATATTAACTCACTGAAGAAAATTGGTGAACGGTTGCTCAACTTTGTGGATTGGTTGAAGTTAGACATTAACACCGTTGGATGCCGGCTCAGTGGTCTATCGGTTAAGTGCTCTGGCGCGAGACTAGTAGGTCCTGGATTCGGATCTCGCAAGGCAAGGTCGTGGATGCGCACTTCTGAGGAGCCTCACAATAAGACGAAACGATCGTCCAGTATTTCTAGGTTTTCTACAGTGGTCTAACTTCAACTGACTTATGCTTTCAACTATGAAAACACTGAAATCTCCACAAGACTCATTCTGACTTTAATAATAGATTATTATTTTAGGGATAAGCTGAATGTCATATTTTACAGATGTACATTAGTTCATACATTATTACATCGTGGTAGATTGAAAATGTTCAGTTACAGTAAGATTACAAAATCCTAAAACGCAATTTCAAAACATTACCAACAAATTAATAATTTACCATGTTTACTAATTAAATACACAATGATTTAGTAATATTCTGCTAGGCGGTAAACAGTTAGATTGTATTGAATTATAATAGTTTTTAGTTTTACTCTGTTTGTTGTCTATCAGGAAACTCTCATCAACCAATTAAAAAAATAATATTAGAGATTACACTGTTCTTTAGAGAATAAATAATGAAATCAAAATTAATCTAAGTTCAAATAGTAGAAAGGAACAAAGAAGTGGCTTACATTGAGTCACATAATGTCAGATAATCTAGTTTCTCTATTCATTGGGGTATTACAAATATATTATTTTTATTTATAACAATCTACTCAATACTCGATTTATTCGAAATTATCAAGTGAGACTTTGATAATTACACCTTTTGTAGTGAATAAGAACACGATTGAGGACAATCGAATGTATTTAAGCACAAATTACAAACTATCTTACTAAGATCTGATAACCATACGGCAAACAGTTAATTTGCAAAATAACAATCCCTTGTCTCAATCTTCACTGTTCCTTCTGTAAATATCAATCTATCTTCTCTAATTTAATTGTTTATGTATTTTCTTACCAATCGCACTTCATTTAAGTTCTTTCCTTATCGATCTTCTGCCAAAATACATTCTATGCCTGACCATCACCACATACTACTTATAAGGATATAAGTAAACCACACCACACTTCTAGTTTATTGGTCTGATAAGTGTTATAATAAAACCTGATGAAACAAACGTTTATTAACAAAGATGATGACATTTGAATGGATTACGTTACATAATTTGGAGAAAATTCGAATTTATATATATATTGATATTTTAATCAGTAATATATTTTTCTACCATTCAGAAATGATAGCGAGCTTACACTATTCATTTCTCTGTTCAGACTATTATAAACGTATATTTGTAGTTTATTGCATGATTTGGTCTGATAACTTTGATATTCTATTGAGTATGTTACAAGCGGATAAATTATAGTTGTAATAGTATAATGATTTATCCTGACTTTTTCAGTAAAATATTCGCAGTTTGATACTGGTAGCTAATTGACTACTTATATTTGAGTTGAAGAAAAGAAAGGATGTATTTGCTGTACGGGTCATAATTAAAATGACAAAAAATAAGATTAAAAACCTCAACATATACGTTCAGAATAATAGTAATCTAATGGAAACCTTTATGAATTTTTTTAATTTATCCTTTGGACAACTTGATGCTTACGTCTGTTTCTTAAAAGCTCAGTAACAGCAGTTCAGGTCATTGAGATCAAAAAGATTTTCTTCAAGCTTTACGTGTATCTTTTTGCTAAATAAAAGGCAATATAACTTAGCTCATGTGAGTGTTTTAGACCATTTACACTTCCATCCTATTGATTATTCATATATTCGACAAAATGAACAAAATTCATACCAAAAACGTTATATCGTGTCGATCAGAAAAAGTTCACGGATACTCATGCATGTACGAAGTATCATTGTTACTTTCATCATCATCATCATCATCATCATCATCATCATCATCATCATCATCATCATCATCATCATCATTAACTTTGTTTGTCAAATCATTTTCTGTAACCTCAACAGTTATTGAGTTTTCGTACAAAATTCGATTGTATCATAAATACTTATTCTAAAATATGCATATACATATGTAATGTAAGCATGAATTACTGATGTATTACTATGGAAAATTACGTTGAAATTTAACAGTTGTTTCACAAACCTTCATTCTATCATTCATTCATATCATCAAAAATTATTGACTCTATTAGAAAAACAAATGTATACTTTATGAATACTACTGATATAAGATAAACCGTTAGAAATGATAAACAAGTTACTAAAAAAAGGTTGTTTATTAATTTATACACAAATATTTATTCATTTAAGTGATATCTGTATATTAGAGAATAAAAATTTAAGAGTATGAAATGAAAGCCCTTCTTTTCCCTTTCCATCCAATGTGTGTAAACTGGCCCCAAAAGGTTATATATATATGGTTATAAAATACTCAAAGCGGCTTCGTTGTTGTAGATTTATGCTTTACTCTTTAATGTTTTACTTGTGGCTCATTTTATATTTTATGTTATGCATTATTTTACATATTTCTTCCAACGGAATAAAGAAGTCATTACAAAAGAGCCACTGACTGTTTTGCATTTTCTCTACAATCCTTTTCATTTTTTCCCCTATTCTAGTTTATTTATCTATTTTAACTTCATTTATTATTATCTTTGTTGCTATGATTGCTCTTAAGTTATAATGAAAGCATAAATAAAAGATGAAAATAATTTATTTTATATTATAGGAATTATTATCACCATGGTCATTACTGTCGTCATCTTTATTATGGTTGTCGTTGATGTTTAACTACTGTCAGTCAATAGTGTGATTTTTAGTAATAACTGTAAAACCGCTGATATTAGTAGCATTCTTCCTATTAATGGTAGTAATGTTAATCGTCATTATTGGAAAAAATAACCTCAAAATTTTATTTACTGACCAAGTTAAATAAACTAACAAACCATAAACATTGATTTTGTTCATCTTTAACAAAGAAACCAAATCGCTAGCACAATATCAATAATGTAGTTGAAAAAAGAGTAAACTAAACATGAATAGATCATGGAATTACACTCACTTACACACTTGCTTACGCACTCACGGATGCACACATACACACTCACATACAGCCCTAAACGTATACACTGACAATCACTGAAAAGATGTCAGTTGTTGATTATCAAGTATAAAGTTGGTAAACTTTTCAAGTTGTTTATTGGTTATACTTAAAAGAGAGAGAGAAAAAAAGCAAAATATCCTGTTCTCTTATTCGAGAAAAAAAAAACATTTATTTGTTATATGTTAAGTTTATTCCCTCAGCATACATAAACAAATGGAACTTGTCTATAACAATTAAAGTTATATATTACAAATCGTGTTTTTTTTCAAGACTATCCCCACTAAGAGTGAGGTTGTTTCTTTCTTTTTTTAAAAAACAACACAATATTGTTATATCCACTTATTTACACACACAGTATTGTGTTTTTAAATTGCCGCCAGTTTCTGTTTTTATTCCTTTCATCATACTTCTTTTTTTTTTAAACAAAAGATGAAACGGTTAAAACATTCAACAATAAATTAGTATATAAATAAATGTATATCTGCTTTCTCTTCACGTTATAGTATGTATTTATCGTTCATGTACATGATTAATTTACATTACCCTATGTAGTCATTACCATCTTAGTTATTATTATATTCATTGGTTTTGTTGTTGTGGCAAATTTTTTGCTAATTATATTGTACTCTTTTCCCCCTACTTTTATATTTGAATGTTAAAATGTTGACAAAAAAAAACTACCAAAGAAGAGTATAGAAGAAGCTTTTAAGTAAATTGTTTTTATTTACCATTAAAATAAAACATTGAATTTGGTGACAGGATAAAGTCAATAAGGCAACAAAATTAATGAAAATATGTTATTAAAGACAACAAATGTAATAATAATGATAGTAACTACTTAACATATGTATCAACAAGGATAATTATATTCATTATAGTAGCAGTGACGACAATGGTAATATTTCAAAGATTCATGATAGTTATCTTCTCTTTGAACCATAATATATTGATCAAAATTTCATGTAAAGCAACTTAAAACCTATGTATACAATTAGGAAAACAATGATAAGACAATTAAAGATAATACTTATTACATTTTTTTGGAATTTTTGTAAATAATAAACGGAATCAAATAGATATTTTTCAAAATTCTTACAATTATCATCAGATGGTTGGAAATAGTTAACGAAAAGCCTAAGTACTATGATGAATATTCATCAGTGCTTGTTCAAACTCCTTTAGGAATTGATGCTGTACGTATTTCTAAAGATCATAGTGATAAACCTCACTGCTTAGTTTTTCTGATATCTTCTTGTTATATACCTTGGAGATTTATGAATGGTAACTTTAAGGACTATTTATGGACCAATGTGATATGTATATTTCCTATTGTATAATTGTTAAGTAACGAAAGTATCCATATTCGTGTCCCTCTTATTATGAGCTTTATTTTGACCTATAGACTATTATTATACGATTTACCATTTTTGAGTTATCCCTAGTCCATTAATTATTGTCCCCCCTATTCACAGCCATATTTGGCTGAATCTTGTACGAATGTTATTTTCTATTTTATGGTACAATGTGGTCAGTTTGTTTGATATATAAACCCAGTATGTTTGACAATAATGATTCGTATTGCAGAGGCTGTTATTGGTGTTCTGTACTTAACTGTCTGGACTAGGTAGATAGCAGGACTGATAAGTACTCAAGACTGCTGAATACAGTTTTTTGTGTATCATTGGGCGATCAATAAATTCACTGCTCTCCAATTGGCGGTCTTATAACGTTATATATATCAACTGGGCAAGAACGCACGCACACGATATAATATTTCTATATTCAAAATTAGTTTCTGTTTAGTCTCGGATAAAATGTTAAAGAACAGTACGAAATCTAGGTATAGCGATTTTTGATGAATACCTTCAAATAACTTGATTTCTGATGGTTTGCATAAAAGATATCTTAAATACTTTCCACTACTATTAATCAGCTTCAGAATTATTTTCTTTTCCGCAAGATATTTCCCGCAAATCAATGCTACATTTCTAATAATTCACTTCTCATTCTCTTTCCACTTACATATATAGTTAATCTAAGGAGCTTATTACATTATTTTAATGTCCCTAATCACAGATTATTTTAAAACAAGAGGTAGTTTATAACACTAAAAGATAAAACGAGAAGAAACCCGACGAGAATGTAAAAAAAGGTTAAGAAATTTGTGACGAATCAATCGGAAAATTGTGAAGAAAAGTAAATTAATTATTTTTTTATCTAAGTTTTGCATTCACAAAAAAGGGGCGAGAACAATGAAAGAGAAAATTTCGCAACAATGCGAACTGAATAGCAGGTTTGAGTAACCAGATTATTCTTTATCTTTCTATAGTGGCTATCGCTTTTTAATACCGATTTCTTTTCTGCCTCATTCTCAATGAGTAGGAGCAAGGAAAAGAGAAAAGCAAATTTTTGACCTCATGTTCCATATTTCCAACCATATTCTTATGTAATTTTTAGTTATGCATCATGAATACCTTTAGATGTCATCAGCAACAGCCTACTGTGGGAGAGAACAAACCAGTTTTCAACTGAAGAGGTAATTAGGAAAATATGTTGGATGCGGATAGAATGTACATTTTGCGAATCGTCGAACTGCATAACAAGGTAGGCGCCAATTTGGAATCCTGAAGGGAAACGGGAAAGAGGAAGACCAAGTAACACACTGCGTTGAGAATTGGAAGCAAACATGAAAAGGATGTATAACAACTGAAAAGAATTGAAATGGGTTGCCCAGAACAGATTTCGATTAAGAGTGCTGGTTGGCAGCTTATGCTCCACGAGAGGTAGAGGTAACGGGCATGAATAGGATAAGTAAGTAAATAAACAAGACATCATGGACTATCCTTAGTAAGATGGACACTTAGAACTTTAAAGCACTTGAAAACTATCCATTCCATTATGAAACTCCTCTGTAGTGACCGAATCCTGGATCTTCAGGGTCCATTAATAAATGCTTAATCTCTAGACCACTGAGTTGGCATTCATTGGTGTTCAGTGGAATCCAACTATGTTAGGTAGCACAATATAGAGGACTAACTCAAGTCAGAAATGTAAATTACTGGATACTCAGTGATCTGAAGAGCGATTGTCCTATTTGAGAACTGAAGGTCCTGCATTCAGTTCCTGGATGGAACTTGGATGGACACTGTTGAGAAGTAACCTACTAGGAAGAAATAACTGAACATTCCGTTAAGCATGACTGTAAATTCATCAGTCTACAAAATTCTCGATACTATAAATATACCTCATTCAAACTATTCTAGCAATGTTACTTCATTTATTAGTTGTGATTTGTAGTGTCGGCTGCTATGTTAAGCCCACACAGCTTATTCTAGCCTCCCTATATACCGATTTATTCATTCTTCTTCAGTCACATTTTGACTTTGTTAATTATTCTCTTGTCAATCTTGACTGTTTTCATGTAAGCGTATATGCGTACATTTCTTACTCATCACATTTCTGTAACTTCTTTTTGGCTGACTATAAATACTGATTCACTCTTGACTTAATTGAGTTGGCTCACTCGCCTTCTTCAATGCGAGTCGTTTTGTTTTGCTTCACTTTCCGATCAACAATTGTACAAAATATACGCATTCGAAATCCATTCTCGTATTTGACTTATTTAATTCCGTTGTTCACTAACGCGAGTTAAGTCGATAATATATGCGATGACTGGCGACATGTATATTTCGATAACAGTCATTCGTACGATCTAGGTGGAATCACATATTCCAGAGCCACTAAAGATTACGCCTAATGAATAGTCTTGCGAGGCGAGATCGTGAATGCGCACTGCTGTGAAGTCCCACAATAGGACGAACCAGTCGTCCAGTACTTCCAGGTTTTCCATAGTGGTCTAGGTTCAAATGACTCATGATCTCAACTATTAAAATATCTTTATCACACGAAATGAATATGTGATCAAGTGTTTTGGAGAGTTATATGACTCTC